GAGGAGAATTATCATCGATTAGAAATTGTTCACTTTATGCATTGCTTAATTGTATAATTAATTCAGCTGAAGATATATGAGCTCTGCATTTTGACCTGAATGGATATCTGTAAAAAAACGCGAAAAGCCAAAACATTTAGAAAACGTTGTCTATTAGTTATTTAGATCATAAACATGAATTGATTGTTGATATGAGCATCTAATATCAACCTTGTAATTAGTTATTTTTGAATCATTTTTATTTCAAAATACATCTGCTAGTGGACATCATTTTCTGAGTGTTTGAGGTGTTTGCATTGTGAAAAAAATAGCTGAATCGGTGCACTCTCTCATTTAAGTTACTAGCTTGAACAGACATTTGGCTTCTGTTGAGTGTTCGCGATTGTTTATGATTGTTCATCTCAATATCTATGTCATCTTTGAGTGTTTATGGATGTTCGTGGGTTTTCGCATCTTTTACAGATACTCTTTCTGAATGGGACTGCACTTATACGTATTCTTTTGTCATTAGCAGTCGCCCTTTTTCTTCTTTATTGGAACGTCGAGAAAAAAATCGTAAGGTTGCCATTTTTGACGAACACGTCATTAATTTGTGTATTTCTGGATTCATAAGCTTCAGTCAAGTATTTATATAGTTGACGTTATCAAGAAAGACAATAAAAAAATTTCTCTTGTAAAATATTATACTAAACTTAACTGAATATTACAGCAACATTTGTTAATATTTATCAGCTTTTCAAAAGATACCGGTCATTATGTCGGCGGACTCGACATCAGAAGAATTCATAACATTCTTAAGATTAATACAAACAAATTTATTTCGATACGGTGGATCCATCTTAATCGGCTTAGGTAGTTTAAGCTGTATACTTAGTGTAATTGTATTTACTCGAAAAACACTTCGCAAAAATCCTTGTTCAACTTACTTTATAGCACTTTATGTTGTTAATTTTTTATATATTCATATGTCATTATTACCATTAACACTTGAAATAGGTTACAATATAGATGTTAATTCATATAATCTTTTCTATTGTCGATTTAGTCTTTATGTAGCTGTTGTACTTAATACATTAAATGCTTATTATATAATCTTAGCTTCTATCGATCGTATACTAGTTACTTCACCAAAGGCACTGACACGAAAAAAAAGTAGTCATTTTTTTGCCTATAAATTGATCATTGGTGGAACGCTATTTTGGATGTTATTTCTTAGTCATATATTAGTTTTTACAGCTCTCATACCAGTTGGACCGAATACTTTCTTATGTTATTTTCAATCGGGTTGGTATCTTATGTTCATAAGTTATTATTCACTTGTTAAAGAAACTGTTGCGCCGTTCTTAATGATCATTTTTGGAGTATGGAGTGTGAAGAATATTCGACGAGTGCACCGTGTTAAAGCTGCTACCGTATTAACTGTAAATGAAAATACAGAAGGCGGCGGATCATATTCAAATTTTTCACGAGATCGACAACTTGTCTTTTTGCTAGTCAAAGATGTTATTATCTATATTCTCTTTACTTTCATAATGGCAGTTTCACTTATATACGATCAAATGACACAATATCTAATAAAGAATGCTGAAGAGATCCAAAAAGGAATCTTTCTCAGATATGTGGCTATTTTCAGTGTTAATATCCCATTCTGTATTGGCTGTTATACAAATTTATTGATATCAAAAACATTCCGACGTGAAGTGAAAAATATTTTTTCATGGCAATAAATATATCATCATTTCTCAAATGTATTACATTTAAAGTGATCGAATACTTGATCAAAGAAGCAATCAATGATATATTAATAATTTAACATTGCTTTGTTTATGTTTTTGTTTTCTGTCTTATTGTCGACTCTACTTTTTTTTCTACATTGAAAAACTTCAAATAAAGGTCTTCAAATTATTTCGTAGAACAACACAAAAATTTATAATTCAAGGTTAGATTATTTGATATACGGGCAGGATGTTTTTTTAATCAACGATTATGAAAAGAGACTGTTAAAGAGTCTCTACTGATTATTTTGTCAAAAAACAATCCGGCACGATTGTCTGTGACGTATGATAGATGTGAATTGTTTTGTTTTAAGTCAAACTGATGCCTAGATGTTACATCTGTAATGACATTACACGTGTGACAGTTCCCAATCGAATAACTGAACTGGTTTCAATCATCTAGTTCTATTGAAAAGAACGGGAACTGGTGACCAGTTCTTTTTCTATGAACTAATGTACTGAACATCTCATTTTCCCTACTCATTTCATTTGTGACTACACCAGTTCAGACTATGTAGTGAAAATACAGAAGTGTGGATGTGGGTCTCGGTTAAACCAAGCGAACACCAATACCCACACCCTTTTAATGAAGAATGAAGTCTTAGCCATTGCAAAAAATCAAAAACGTATCTGATTGACTTGGAACTTTTTCAGGAGATCCTTCACGCAAATCAGGATCCTATAGCTTTCGTTTTGTTTTTTAAGATGCCTCGTTGATTTTATAAAATTCATGCAGCACATCAACCAAAGAAAAAAATCCCGCTTTTTCCACGACTTTTACATGAATTTTTTCGTCTAAGGGATGCATAAAAACAAAATATAGGATATCTGATTCGTATCTGGTATCCGTACGAAAGTTTCAGTTCGTTTGGATAAAATTTCGATTTTTGTGATGGTTAAAGTTCCATGTCATTTTTAGGACTCTTGCAATTTTTGGGTGGTTGTCGGTGAGATGTGGGTGTGAGTGTACGTTTGTGGAATGGGTTCGGATACAATTTTCACCCACACTCACCCACACCCACACCCACACCCTTTGGAAAGATTAGAATTGAAATAATAGAAGCTGTATCTAATGAGAACAAGGTAAATGGGAAACAATTAATCCTGAACAAATATATTTTTCAAAGTTCGATTTAATAAAAAATAAAAATAATTTCAGTTAATTTCATTTTGGCCCCGCAATACAAAAGACAGTTTAATGTGTGTTCGCTAGGCACATAATCAAATAACATCAAGTTCATTTTAAATGGATCAAAAACATTGAACACTTTTACGTATGCATGATGAAGAACGTCCAGCAATTTATGTTGAAGTAGCAGCAACAGATTTTCATGGTGTCAAAGTTATATTTAGAGATGTTAAAAATTGGTGATGCACCTTTACTTACTGTAAATTGTTTAGAAAACGATCCTGTTTCATTTTGTCAAACTAATGACGTGTAAGTTTAAAATGAGTTTTTTGTTTTAAAGAAAATTCAATTTGCTGATGTTTTTTCTTTGATGTAGACAACCACAATTTTTACCACCAGCAAAGTATGTTTATTATACATGGATAGATTCATTATTACCAAGACCATTAACGATATCATGTGGTTCTAAAACAGCAAAACTAGAACTCACTATAAGTAATTTTGTTTTCTGACAAAGAAAAAGGCTGATTTAGGCGTCAGTAAAATAGATGAAATAGGGTGTGAATGTAGGTGTGGTTTTCAATTGGTTGTCATTTCATTCATACTCACATATCGTTATGATCGTCGTGTTAAGTATTCAGTTTTAAAAACAGTTACCTTTTTCACTGTCTGCATGATATAATAAATAAATATTTGCTCTATGTTAAGGTTCACAACTAGAAATGTGTGCAACCAATTCTGGACTCAGTGACGGAGACTGGAATCAAAAAATAAAACTTTACTGGGACTAGAAGAAAAACAATTGTCGGGATTAGAGCTTAAGTTTATAGTGAAATATTCTACGACTTTTTGAATGCAGTGAACTCCATAAAAATGCTATTTTTTGAGTTGAGAATTTTGTTTTTCTTGTTCAAAACAATTAAACTGGAAACAGTATAAAAAATTAGTCGGCACTCTCTCTTAGACAGCTAATATTATACGTTGCAGTTATGAAGTTAACTAACAATAAATAATGAATCACATGAATAATTAAACGATCAATCGACCAGCATTGATAGAGTTCTCTAAGTAATAAATTTTGTTATGTCTGCTGTACCATTTCGTTTTATATTTCGATCACTTGATTGAACGAAATGTAGAAAAAAAATCGAGTTTCTAACATGAGCGACACGAAAGGAACACGCTGCTGTAATCTGTTGTGTAATTAATCATAGAAACGATTGTGCGTTTTTTTAATGAGATATCGATTTCTCAATAATCTACATTCGAAGCTTGATACGGCATATCGTAATCGAGTCTCTCGCGGACAAAAAAAAATGGCCTTTTTCTATTTCATTTTCGCATCACTTAATGCGTTGTTCTAAAAAAACAAAATATACCACAAGATGCAGCGTGAAAAGAACTATAATCTACAAAGTAAACCTTGTTTTAAGTTTGTACTTTTTGTTTTCAAACAAGGCAAAATTCTGTGCGACCAATGTTCGACGCTGCGAGAAAATCATTTTTTTCTATGCGAACGAGAAATTCCTTTTTTCTTATTTCATCTATTTATCAACTAATATGTTTTTGTAAAAAA